TCAGGCATACTTCCTGTCAAACATCTCAGCACCTTGCATATTAAATATCAAGATTCTAGACCTCGTAGAACGCAGGAAGTTTTTAAAAATGTGTTACCCAATATAGTGCTTTTGAACTTTTACTTAAACATTACCGAAAACCGGAAGTTGCATAACTCTATATGATATACAAAGATCCACCACGTGCTTGAGATTGTTAACAAAATACATTTGTATAGGCTGTTAACCAATCAGAGTTCGTGGCGGCCATGTTCGAATATTAATTTCTCCAAAAAGTAACACTAGTTTGTAAAAGCCCCCAGAGGAATGCATGTACAAATTGTGGTTAATATTGCTCTGGCAGAATCGGAGAAGATCGTTAAAGTTTGTAACCAATATAGCTTTTCAAAAGATCAAAGGAAATAATGAACGTCATATGACGTTAACTGTTAATGTTACAGAAAAATAAATGCATCAAGTTAATCGGGTGGACATTCCCTATCGACTGCAATAAGAGTTTTTATTTTTTTTGAATGGAAAATAAAAAAAGGTTTTAAAATATGTGACCTTTGACCCCATGGCGAGAATTAGAACTTGACCGTTTTCCTCATTACATGACATGGGTCAAATTTAGCCCCGACCATACTCTATTAATATATTATAGTAAAAATACAGTTCCATTTATAGTTATTGAGGTATGGCTGTTTAAAAAAAAAGGTTAACAAAATCACTTTATATGTCATGGGGACCATATTAATTTTTGATCAAACTGATATCTACAACCTGGCAAAATATCATGTACATACCTATAAACGTCTAGAAGGAAAGTTGGTCTCAAGATCTAGAGGAGAATAATAATAAGAAACAGAACAAAAACAATAGGTCTTTCCATCTGTTTGTGAAAAGTACTAATAAAACAGAACAAAACAATAGGTCTTTTCATCTGTTGGTGAAAAGCCCTAATAAGATATGCTCAAGAAAAGTTTATAATAACTTACGTTTGTTTAACAAAAAACAACCTGTGTATGTGCCTTTTGGATATTTTCAATACTGTATACAGGGATATTTTCGTCCAGTCAAATTCCCACCCGTCGAGGTTAAATCCATTTTCACCTAATATTAATCCGCCCTTAATGTAAATTACGTTGTTCACAAATGTTCGCTGTAATGATAATGGCGGAGGGTGAAAATAAACTGCAGCGAAAATTTCCCGGTATACAGTACGTATTGAAATACAGCATTGCGGCCATGAATAGGAATGTGCACAATCTCCAGTAAACCATTGTTCTCCTATTTTCTGTGTGCATGTTTCCATCAGAGCTGGTCTTTCCTACGAGATGGTGAATTCAATCATGCAACAAAATGTATAAGCCTACAATGTATGTAAAAGTGAAATATGATGATTGATCTGTGGGTTGTAATTAATGGTGTATTAAGCATTAATGATACAATTTGGCCTCGGGGAGACATAGGTCATAGACAATCTTAGCTGAATATAACAACAAAGACAACACACGCTTGTGGATGACAGTTTTTTGAAATTCTATATGAAGGTAGCAGTGTACAGTAGCGTACGGTGGCCATGGGCGATATTTTTATACAATGAATAACCCTGGTAATATTACATGTATCAAAAAAAAAAAAAAATCAGCACTAAAATTGGCCTATACATAATGAAGTGGACTATGTGAGCTTAATAATCTAAAAATAAAATCGAGTTTGGTTTGAGACTACAGTTTTGGGCATTTACAAATCTGTGTCTACACAATAAAAGCTGGCTTTCCATGTAGTCTATTTTAGTACTCAGCACATGTGTAAATACTGTAAAAAATCCTATGCTTAAACGTGAGTATTTATATTATCGAGTAGGCGATATTTAATTTCAGACAGAAAAACATACTACTTGCGGGGGTCAAATTTTGGGTTAAAATCATTATATTTTGCATTTTTTGGTGTTTTTTGATGTGGTAACCATGGTTTTCACAAGTCCAAAATCTAGGAAAACATTTTTGGAAAAAAAACTGTCTTCTAATCTAAACAAAATGTCTTCGAAATGTAGTTTATATATATATACGGACACATGAAGCATGCCTACATGAAAAGGAGATAGATTATCTTGTCAATTTTATGCATAAAACTAGTTATTTCTATGGTTTGCCTAAAATACACAAAAGCTCTATTATAAGTAAAGCTATAGAAGAACAAAACTTTACATATATTGAAGTTGAAAATCCTACGGATTTGAAGTTTAGACCCATAGTAGGCGGCCCTAATAGTGCAACGCAACGTTTGAGTCATCTTGTAGACCTCACTCTTAAACCTTTATGCACAAGTGTAAACAGTTATGTCAAAGATGATTTTGATTTTCTGAGCCGTTTATCTAAACAGGTCCCACATAATGCTAAACTTGTTTCTTTTGATGTTGTTAGTTTATACACTAATATACCGCATGATCTTGGTATTGAAGCAGTTAAATGTTGGTTGATCAAAAAACGAGAAAAAGTTAATTCTCGTTTTAGTAATGAATTTATACTGCAAGCTCTAGACATTGTCCTCAATCGTAATTCTTTTTATTTTGAGCAAGAATACTTTCAACAGATTAAGGGTACAGCGATGGGAACTAAAGTTGCCCCTACATATGCAACCTTAGTTTTAGGATACTTAGAGGAAACACTTTATTCTAAGATTGAGACAAAGTTTGGGGAAAACTTTACTGAATTTATCAGAAATAATTTTTTAAGGTTCCTTGACGATTGTTTTGTTATATGGCCTTCTGATAAGGATTTAAATGAATTTCAAAACCTATTGAATTCTTTACATCCTTCTATTTGTTATACGATGGAGTGTAGCGAAACGTCTTTACCTTTCTTAGATGTTTTAGTTCAACTAGATTCAAATAAGATTACAACGGATTTATATTGTAAAGCTACAGATGCACATAATTATCTAAATTTTTACTCTAACCACAGTAAACACACTAAAGTTAATATTCCATTTAATCTTGCCTCACGGATTGTCACTATCGTCAGTGACCAACAAGCTCAAATTGCTAGACTAAGTCAACTAAAGCAATACCTTAAAGCTCAATGTTATCCTACTGAGATAATAGAACATGGTATACAGAAAGCTATTGAAAAGGGACCCTTTACTTCCCGTCTACAAAAACTAAAGGATGAATCAAAGTTAGTTCCTTTTGTTTCTACTTTCAATCCACGGAATTGTAATATGTTTCCTGTGATAAAGAACAAATGTGAAGAGTTAAAGCAAAGTAGCAGGCGTATGAGAAACATTTTTAATAAACATGCTATTTTACACTGTAGACGCCAACCTAAAAACTTGAAACGTATGTTGACATGTTCTAAGTTTGATAATTCTTGTGTAACACCAAAAGTATCCAAATGTAAGACACCAAGATGTGCTACATGTCCTATGATTATCGAGTGTAATACTTTTATTTTCAAGAATGGTTTGAAATTTACTGTGAAGGTAAATATGAATTGTAAATCAAAAAATGTAATTTATGCAATCGTTTGTTCTAAATGTGGTGATTTTTACATCGGTCAAACCGGTAATGAACTCAGAACACGTATGACTGTACATAGACAACAAACTAGAACTGATTCTTTACGAAATCTTCATGTTAACAAACATATTCATGAATGTGCTGGAGATAAATTTAATGTATTACCTTTGTATCAACTATTTTCATCAGACACTATTTTAAGAGAAACGAAAGAAGACCAACTAATAAAAATATTAAAACCGAGTCTCAACAGGCCACAATAAAATTTTACGCCAAATTGTCCAACAATCTTGTGTACTTCGTGACGTCACGTTACTATTGTAGTGTGATGACATGTAATTGTGACGTCACGACGTTGTTCTTTTGAATAAACCTGAAGAGCCCTGTGAAGGGTGAAAGCAGCTAGTTTTTTAGTCGGTCGTTCATTTTATTTTTTATTTTAAATATTTTAAATATTTTATTTTAAATAAAAAATAAAGTGTTGTGCAGGTTGAATCCACTATCCATGTTTCGAATTCCATTTCTAGTGGGAATCATGATATTTGTCCTTCGGTTTTAATGTCTTCTAAATTCCGATTAAAAGAATAAAGACGCATTTTTTCACACATAAATTATTCGAGGGAGGACCTACCTTAATTAAAATGGGATTTTATTAATGTAACACAACGGAATCTACTCTTCAAATATAAGATTGTTTTGATCGTCAGTTTTTGCATCGTTTAAGCATTATAAATTCGAAATATAAAAGCATATTTTGTCATAATTTGATTTAGGTTTAATTAACTACCAAACGTAGAGCAACGCCTTTTCCTTACACATTAACCTGATACATCATGACAATAAAATATATGTATATTATCAAATTAATTATGAACTAAAATCGAAATATTTTGTTGGACATATTTAGAACAAATATATTAAGGTCCCGTGAGACATGTTTGCAAAAAGAATTTCTTTCAAAAAGAAATAATCAACAATCAAAGTGAAATTGTCTTGCACTTGTCGTCAAGAGTTGTTCTGCACTGATGTCTAAGCTTTGTTTATCAAATAATTAGCTTGTGATCTCTGAATTCTAGATATGTTGGCGTTACTTATATTTGATTAAAAGGGTTTTAAATACACTCTGAAACAGGCGTTAATTTTTACCTAGAGATGCTTCGATCTACGTCGAAGGATGAATACTTGTTCATCAACTACAAGTCGTTGTTGACCAGCACACCTCCTTACCGGTTGACGTTATGATACACATGTGGAAAGGAACTCATAGCCTTACAGAACATTCTGTTTATTACAAGGTGGTTTTATAGATGTCTCATTTTTGTTTTCATGTCTCTGTTTACTTTTTGTTTCGTTTTGAGCGCTTTTGTTCTTGTGTGTTGACGCTGTGAGAACTTCGTTGCATGTATATCAAATAGTATGTAATTTACGTACTGGATTTTTCCTAATAGAATGAAAAAAACATCGCCTCTTTGAAAAAATATAGCTATGACAACATTCGTTAAAGTAGTAACATTTAATGTTATAAAAATAAAAGAAGTATAATAAATATAACACATAAATAAAGTCCAAATATTTATGGAATTCCTATTCGGATCAGTATCCTTTGCGTCGACGGTAATCCGATCACTGGTACAGATATTTACCTGGAATAAAAGTTAAGGTATTAGTTATAAAATCTCACTTAGCAACATATATGTGACACTTAAGTAATTAATCCGCTACATTTTGTATAGTGGATTGTATAGTAAACTCACAAACGCAACTTTGAAATGGTCTATTGAATAATAAATCAATTACTACTAAAGAGTATATACTTAACGAAACCATGGGTATCTATATTAAAAATCAATGTATTTCGTTCATGAGCCTTTACTTCGAATATCTATTTTTATAACCAGTTATTTTTTTAACATTTTCAATGATGCAGAAAAACAGAATTTTATTAATTCATGCAAATTACTGAATACTGCAATTATCTGAATCTCCACCTTTATCATCAGGATCTAAACTGTTGTTAAACGTATACTAAATGTCATGCAAAATGGCTCTCAAAGCAGTATGATAACTTGGGAGCACTACAATACAACGTACCAATTTTGGCGTTCCTGTAGGTTGGGGAGAAATTCGCCACGACGTCCGCGTGGTAGGCTTTCTCTATTTTGGAATCCTACAGATATGAGAAAAGGTAGATTTAAATATGTATGCTATATGTGATATACATATGATATTGTAAGATCTTAATATTCATGGAACACTGTAAAAAATACTGTTGACACATTACGGTTTGCAGGATTGGCAGCAACGAGCGAACAGTCGACATATTACAAGTAACGAACATCGAATCAAAGAAATATAGATATAAGCTTACCTCTATCGGTACGTGCATTTGATACCGTATCCCGAAGTCTGCTTCTGAGAAGTCTTGTCATATCCGGGTTGAGATCTCGCAGACCCGTGTTTCTATTTCCATTTGGTAAAACATCTCTACCTATCGACCGATCAACACTTCTATCCAAGATACTGCCAACATCTTGCTCTCTCGTGTTCCAATCCCTTAACCTTGACTCGTCAATAAAGCCCGGTAGTGAAGACCGTCTTTCTAGTGACCCGCCATTATTCCGTGGGAATTGTGATCGTGGTCCACTGTTGTCCGTCCACTGGGAAGCATCTCTGCCAACCCAAGGATCGCGTGGTACATCACTAGGACCCCAGGAGTCACCAACGCGGTCGGCAGATGAAGGGAATTGGTTTCGACTTCTGCTTCTGTCAACCCATGAGTCAGAACCTCTACGGTCGAGAGGATCGATAAGGATCCCTGCTCCATTCCCGCGATCATTGCCTCTGGATAAACGTGGGTTAAAATCTCCTGGTCTCCGTCGAATTTCGCCATCCCTGACAGGTCTACGCTGGTCACCGATTCTGCCTATACGTTCCAATAAAGGATCTGGGAAGAAGCCACCATCTACTGGTCGTTCGTCAGGGAGTATTGCACTCAATGGATCAACAACAGGAAACTTGCTGGTGTGTTTTGGATGGATAGCTTTTTTCACAACTTCTTTGACTGGGTTGTATGTTTTCACTACTTCTTTGACTGGGTTGTAAGAACGTCTAGGTGGTAGATATTTGGCAGGTCTCTTGCGACCGTAGGTAGCTGTGAGGGGACACAAAAAAGCAATTGTTAACATAATGTACTTCACAAAAAAATATGAAACACGTTTTTCCGACTTATATCATTCGCTCTAGTTGGCCCAGATAGACGCGCGCTGGGAGTCGTATTGTTGGTCTACACAAAGCAAACCCACGTGGTCTAGCTGGTGACGAAATATTTTTCACCACCAATCGGGGAATAAAACTCCAGTATTCTTAATGAAAGGCGAGTGTTTTATCCCCTCCACCACCCGACCACTCATATTGAAAATGTAAAAAAATAAAAGAGTATATATTGTACCAGGTAATCTATTGCGTTGCTTTACGTTTAAACAAGCAGCGAGAATGAGTATACTGTTGTATTATCGGTTGATGACGCTTTCTTACCATATATATATATATGTAAAAACATTTTCAACAATAAAGCAATTTAAATCTTAAATTTCGATTTCTTTCCTTTGACTTTATATATTAATATGAAACAAGAAATGCAATTATTTAACTCACCTTGTGATGAGGTAACTGCTATCAACACCGCTAGATACACTAGCGCTTCCTTGAGGTAAAGCATGATTCCCTAATTAAGTATACTGTGTATACGACCACCTGTATGTATGTGTCAGTCCCTACCGAGCGGCGACCAGTTTATATAGTAGAATACAGAGAAGGAAATCTAATAAAACAATTTGAATCATCATGATTGATACTGCGGTGCTATTATCCGTCTTCACTACGACAGCTCTGACGTAGCGAAATGTTATTATTGAACCGAAGGAAAACCCGGTGCTCCGTCACAAAGGACACGTGTTACTCTCTGACGGACGACCATGTACGTCATAGCACATATATAGCACGTGGTGGCTCATAAAATATGTGCATATAATAAGTTTGCTGAAGATATATTGCAGGATACTTTGAACATAAAATATAGTATTTAGGAGTACTGTGATAATTGATTATATATCTTAGTTGTATCAACACTCAAAAGTATCAGCTGCAATGTTAAGTTCTAATTCTTGTTTCGTGTCATTTAATGTCAAAACAAGCAAACGAAAAAAGTGGGAAAATGTATATTGATATATTTCAGGATTATTATAAAATGATGAGTACAATGCAGTTAATATTTAGACATGTGACACACAGTACTCGTAGATCACAGCCTGTCACTTAAGGACCAATGATAGCGTGACGTACATATATATGTCATTACAATAGTAAGCCAGGCTATAAATAACTTATAACAAAACATTGTTCTAATGTCAAGCAGTACAGCAGTACCATGCAAAAAAGTGTTATTGTCATCGGTTTTAGAATGGTATTTTCTTATAAATTATTAATATTACACCTTAATATGTATGAATAATTTCGCCAAATAACAAACGTGATCAGGTTTTGTACGGTAATTAAGGGTAAAGGGATAACAAATATAGAAAGTTATTTAATTTTATTTGACGCCATTGTAAGTTGAAGTAAAATTTATACAAGTAGGTCAGCACAAAGGATGGTTTAGTGGTCAACTGTACCAGCAGTAAGACAATAACAGGTAGTAAGACTGCGTAATTACAGCTCCAGGCCGACACGGAAACAAACCAAACAGGTAGTCATAGATAGTGTAAACATATAACATCCCCCTCTATAGCTCGTCATTTTATACAGTGTATACTAGCCTTAATCACCACAGGTGGGTTAATAGGTCAAACCTGTTATGTCTATATATTTCCTGACATCTCCCTCTATGTTATATATTACTGATGTCAGGAGGTCGTAACACGGCATATATCTTTATCGCCAATTTACATGTATTATCATGTTTGTTTTATAAAAAATACAGTGTTTGTGGTGCTCTTTTCGACCACTATCCGTAAACCAGTGAAAACGAGTACCCCTGGAAAATTAACGGTGCTATAAATCAAGTCTAAAAGTTTTAAGTTATTACTTCCTTATTCTTCTCTTTATTACTGCATTTATCTTCCCCCGATTCATGGAAATCTATAAGTATTTTTTAGAATTAATAAAATAATTGCATGTGTTTTGAGGTTTTGACATTATTATAATTATTATTATTACTTTTATTCATTTTGGTCATAAATATATAGTTCTTTCTATTATTTGTGAAAGATGTATTCATCTATTATATTTTCTGCGTGATGCTGCGCTTCTACCTTAACTTATGTCTGCATTCCCTTCAGAAATATGATAGTTACATAATAGTCAATAGCTTCTCCTATTGTATAACTACCTATTGACTTAAATTGCCTTTTCAGAGATGAGAATACTATAAGCTTATCTCAATAGCAATAGTGGTTTATGTCTAAACATTACAAAAAAACATTATTTGTAATCAACGTGCATATGAGACATGTTTCTGCCACACACAAAAATATCAAGTTTAATATTTGGCTTATTTAGAGCTGTTTAAAGCCGAAATTGAATGAAATCCACATTTCTGTAACTTGATATCTTAGCATAAGCAAGCAAAATAGCAATACTTCTGATCAACGAAAATGTTCATTTTTGTATTGGCTTTCTCCGATTACTAAATGATTTTCCCAGAAAAATTGTCTAAATTTTGTCTTTTTTTCTACAATGAATGAGGTTAAAAAGTCATACAACTGTTTTCCTGTATTGGAAATTCTATATACTGCCCCTCTGTACATTTGGGAAGAGAAAATAATCGACATGTTTAAATACAAAATATTTGTTTTATCTTCATTTTACTTAAGGTAGAGGACCATGTTATAGTAGCTATATGCATGCCAAACTATTTTTTCATCAGACAAATGACAAAAAGTTATACACATTTTTTTGTTTAAACGCATGGTCAGTTTTCAGTTTTACCGTTTAGTTGAAGTTGCACGAGACGGGTTTTTAGCCATGCTGACCTTGTCTAAGATATTTAAGACATCTTAACCAAAAAGGCATTTCTACTAGGATTTATGCACACAGAAAATAATTCAATACGCTTTTTAGCTTTTGTTTGTGCTATTTTTAAAATTCATTTATTTATTTATGCACACAGACAAATGACAAAAAGTTATACACATTTTTTTGTTTAAACTCATGGTCAGTTTTGCCGTTTAGTTGAAGTTGCACGAGACGGGTTTTTAGCCATGCTGACCTTGTCTAAGATATTTAAGACATCTTAACCAAAAAGGCATTTCTACTAGGATTTATGCACACAGAAAATAATTCAATACGCTTTTTAGCTTTTGTTTGTGTTATTTTTAAAATTCAAGTTTCATCTGAAAAAAACTACAAATCGGCCGTGTTTGCTGACTGAAGATTTATTATTTTTTATTGTGCAAAAGCAACGGCGGTCATTTATGAAAATTGATTACTGATTAAAAAAAATCTAATCAATTTGTCATAAAAGTGCAATAAGTTTGTAATATTTTTATCTTCAGAAATGCAACAAAATCAAATATCTAAGTTTAGAATGGCATTTAGACATATCGATTAATCAATATTTTGACAATACAATGATTTCGAGGCAAATGTATGAAGTACTTTACTTGGTCTTGCGATCTTTCAATTTCGAATGATCAATGTTACATGAAGAGAAGATATTACACTTCGAAGTTAATCATGCAAGTGATTTGATGATTTTCTTGATCCAAAGGAGAATGAAAATAACATTCTCTCCAAAGACTTATGTATTTTTTGTCTATTGTAGCTAAAACATACATGTAAAACATGATGCCACAGCTCTGATATAACTTCTCTACTCTAAAATGGCCAACACTTTACCTTGCTAAAATGATTTTGTTCTCATCATTTTTACAAATCATACACAGCCTTGTAGTACTTGTAAAAAGACACTCACAAAATAAGTAACGTTTTGATTCCCTCTCGAAATCACACATGCATCTTTCTCCATTCGACCACCAACTACCATGCTCAATCCTTCCTTCCTCGAACCAATAGCCCGTGGAACAGCCCGCCATCCGGCATTGCACCGAGGCCTGATACAGCGTCATTCAAACAAGGTCTCACACACTTACAATAACCGTCACAACCACTTTCATCTTGTACTACATATATATATAAAATAGAATAAAAATATAAAGTGCTAATCCCGAACGTTCTCCCCGACAGTGCGCATCTATAAAATCTTCGCTACAAAGAAGGTAATTCCGCATCCTCGATATCCAGGGGTCACGCTCACTTTCGCTCTCTTCCCCCCTGGAATATGTCATAGCAAAATTGAAGGCACGAGGCTAGCTATTTGATTGTTGTCAGGTAAAGAATCCTGACCAATCACTAGGCAGATGCTTGCTCTTTGAAGATTACAGAGGAGCGACGCCCGACTTCAAAGAATACAAAGGTCCATGCGTTTGTTATGCTCATTAATGTGCTTTGTGGTTTTGTTGTCACTACCCGAGTTCTCGATGGCAGGCCTTGATATTACAATGGATTTGACCTACATTTACATGACGGGTGTCGTCGAAACAGACTCCTACCCTTCCGGAACATGTCTATTCGCTTCGTATTTTTCTATGGTCTCCATGTAAATCTTTTAAAATGTTCAGTTGATTTTGTATTTTCGTGTATTCGTGTTTTTTTGTTCTTGGTGTTTTTTTTTGTATTTACGCCCATTCTCACTTATCATGCGCCATTAACCGAACATCATGTCGCATGGTCCTTTCACCACCTATAATATAGCCTATACGTCAAAACTATAGTTAACTGTTTCAACATAAGTCTACACATACAGTAACCCGTACATAAGTCTACACATACAGTAACCCGTACACAAGTCTTCACATACAGAAACCCGTACATAAGTCTCCATACAGTAACCCGTACATAAGTCTACACATACAGTAACCCGTACATAAGTCTACACATACAGTAACCCGTACAAAAGTCTACACATACAGAAACCCGTACATAAGTCTCCATACAGTAACCCGTACATCTGCCTCATAACATTACTGTAACCTGTACATCAGTCTCCTTACAGTAACCTGTAAATCAATCTCCTTACAGTAACCCGTACATCAATCATCATACAGTATTTTCCAAAAACAAACATTTTTTTTAATGAAAACGTAAGGTAAATTGTTCATGGTGTACATGAACATGCCATAATACTCGAATAGTCGTTGTCGCGTCACTGTTTCTGATGCAAATAGCTTTGCATTTTATTCAGTTTAGCTAAAATCCATGTTTTCCTTCATAGTTTAAGTTTACTCATGTCTAAACAAAACTTAATTTATTCAATATCAATAATTTAAGCTAAAATATGATTTTTTTGGCGATATCTACTGTATTGCAAAATGTCTTGCCAGATACATTACTAAACAAAACACCCATAATACAGGCATTTATTATCGGTGAATATAAGTTTAAAACATCTTGGCATATTGACTAAAGGTATTTTATATCGCATATAAATCCATCGACATTAATTCTGTAAGCATATATCAAGTATCCTGCATTAAACTTGGTATTCTTGGTTTGTCCGTTAAAAATTCAACGGATACATACGTGACCTGTATTTTCTAATAAAATCTGTACTCATTTTTTGTATAGCTTACACGTTAAAACTGAAGTTAACATTGTTGTACAATGTGTAAATTTAAAGCGAATACCGAGTGAATTTAATTTTGCTGACGTAAACAGTTTTGCGTTTTGCCACCAGATACGTTATAAAT